GCAACCCAAAGTTTTGAAGGCACCAAACTACTACTAAGATCAGGATTAGACAAAAAATTGCTGCATTCTGTAATTATATTGTGTCTCAGATTTGCCCACTATCATCTTTTCTATCTTGGTTTCCCACTCTGTGTCCCAGCCATGGTCTACACTTATTTCAAAATTGCGCGGCGCCTCCACACTACCAAGCCCAATATTTAAAAACAACGAGCTAGTTATTTCTAAATAGCAGCTCCGGCTTTCCATGAGGAATAACGCTTATTTCAAACTATTTATTTTGAAATAGTGGGTGGGTGGATGCTCAGCTGCTGCTATTTCAAAATACTTGGCCTCTCATAGCTGCACAGTGGATACTTTGGCCACACCTGACATCTCCACTGCTCCCCTTCTCCTGCGGGAAAAAGGCTTGTGGCACATGCAGACCTCTGCTTGCCCAGTGCCGCACTGCATCATCACAGGAGCCATGGCTCCCTCTAGGCTCCCCCCTCCCGCCAGTACTCCCACAACACCCACAGCTGCCCCTGGCTAGGGAAGTAGAAGAGCACCAGCATGGCTGATCTCTGCAACAGAAGGCACAACACTGAGGTCTACAGTTGGATGACCACCAGCCTGGCCAAGAAGGGATTCATATGAAAATTAAAAGGCTCAGGCGGGCCTACAATAAGGCCAGGCAGGAAGGACGCTCTGGGGTGGCACCGCACATGTGCTGCTACTCTGAATTTGATGCCATCCTGGGAGGGGACCAGTCACTTTCCTCACCATCATCATCGAATCCAGTCAGGACACACTCGGTGTCAGCCTCCACAAGGGAGGGATTGTGGTGAAGGAGGAAGAGGACCAGGAACTGCTCCTGAGACTGGAGCCAGTCGCCTCATCCTATGATGTCTTGCAGGCATTGGACGAAACCAGGGAAGGCCCTTCAGGTGAGTTCCATAATTTTCCCTATACACACGTGGGGCAGATGGTGGGCTGCAAGGGGCTGGGTGCTCCTCGCTCAGCCTACTAGGCCTGGGGATCGTGCAAGAGCCTGTGCTCATGGGGTGACCCAGTGTGTGTGGGACACAGAAGGAGGCCAAGCCACCCCATCCCCCGCTTCTGCCTGCAGGCTCCTGGCCTGGCCGGCACCTTTCCTTGCCTGCTTGTCCCCAGGACATGGAGTTAGCCAGCAGCTCCATCAAAAAGTACCTCTGCCTTTTTATATAGTCTGAGGCATGTTGGTTGGGGTCCACGATGAGGATATGAGTGCCGTCTATGCCCCCCCCCCCAGTTGAGGAAGCCCAGAATGGCAAAGTCATCAACTGTTGTTGATGTTGCCCAGAGTGATGACCTTCTGCATCAGGATGTTGTTGATGGCCATGGCTACCTGCGGGATCACGGCCCCAACTTTGGATTTCTGCACGTGGAACTGGTTCCTGATGAAGCAGTAACAGTCTGGCGTTTCAAGCTTCCACAAGGTGATGTGCTTCTACAGGGGGATGGTGGGTCGCTGTCACTTGAGAGCAGGAGTGAGTAACTCACAGAGCTCCAGGAAAGCGGCTTCCACATGAGGAAGTTCTGGAGCCATGGCTGGCCATCCCACTGCTGCAGGACGATGCGGCCCCACCAGTCAGAATTAGTCTCCCTCTGCCAAAGCAGCATTCAACAGTGTCTAGTGGATTTAGGGTCATTTCAGCAGCAGAAGTGCCAGGACCTGTGTAAAGGGGTCCTCTGTTTGGGGCTGTTCATCATCCTGCTGGTGCAGTATGTGGGCAGTGTGGACAAACTGCGCCATGAGGTGCAACACGAGGCCTATGAGCATGGCACTGCTTTGCAGCAGCTCCAGTTCATGATGTGAGTACTGTGGCATGCGCAAGGGCAACCAGAGTACAGTGTCAATTTGGTGTCCTCGATGGGGTAGGCAGCGTAGGAGTGGCATGTGAAAAGCAGCCGTAGAGTAGAGACTCTCAAAGAGCATGTCTCAGCTTGCCTGACCAAGCAGCCACAGGAAGTGTCTGCCTTCCCGGTGCCCTCCCCAGAGTACTTCCGGGGGCTCTACGTGTGAGGCAGACTCCAATCAGTGCGGACACACTATTTCGATGCTGCCTTATAGTATTAATGTGCTATTTCAATTCTGTTATTTTGGGAGTTATTATTTTGATTTTACTTTTTTTGAAATTATTTCCTAGTGTAGACATGCCCCTACAAAGATGACAGTACAATTCAAATTATGCTGCTGACTGGCTACTTTCTAAAACTCTTATTTGTGGTTCTCCAAAAAGATGCATTATTTCATACATTTCAATTTTTTAGACAGAAAGCCATGAAAGTATAAATGAAGATGACACAACAGTGAATTTTATACATTATCATAAAACTGCTTTATACTATCTTTGCAGACGATTGCTAGGACCCTTATTTTAGCAATTACTTTGCTTAAAATGCATAGAACTAAGCCAAAAGAAACAGAATACAATGCAAGTGGAACACTTGAAGGTTCAATATGCTAGCTGAACAGCTTTCTGATAAAGAAAATAGGTATGTGGGATCCACATTAAGTAACATTTAAAATTAAGATGGAAAAAAGTATCTGGGTGTGTACAAGAATGCACAGATTCAGAACATTTCTACTATCAAACACTGCATTATGTTGATAGGTTATTGTGCAAGTCTATCTCTCTAGAATATTTATAAAGAACTGTTACATGAAGAAGCCAACTTTTTTTTGTTAAGTCTCTTGTTCTATAGGCACTTGAAAAACATCAGGGAAGGGTGAATTTCCCCTAGTTCATTAGAAGGTTAAGAAGGCAGACACAAACAAAAAGACAGAAAAGAAAAGAATGATTCTCAGAGCAACAGAAGCTCTCAAATATATTATAGAGCAGTTACCGGATAGCCATTTTGCCCTGGTTGACCCTGGTTGAATGAAGTGAAATGGGTATGACACACATTAAAAGCATATTCATGACATGTGACATTAACAACATGTACAACATGCTAATGGAAAAAATTAAATGTGTATAGCTATTGATCTTTTTTACATTTGATTATATTTACAGATGAACAAATATGGCACTGAAATATACAGTGAAACAATGGGTTTTTTTTTGTTTTTTTTTGGCAAGAAACGTTATTCAAGATAAAGCATAGTCAACATTAAAAATAACTGACAAAAGGGTCATCTGTTGCCTTTGATCCTTGATGGAACTCTTGCTTTAGGAGTTATACACATAGATTGAGGGGCAGCACATGGCAGAAAGAGACTAAGATACATGTAAGGTGTGCTACCAATAGTATGCCAGTGTCACGGAAGAAATCATAGAAAACTCTATTGGGTTATAAAAACCACTGGACTTTGACTGTAATCCTGACACACTGGTTATAGATGGAAATGTCAGCTAAAATTTCAGTGGTTACCTTTGAAGTTGTTATCACCACCTGCAGTTACTACGTGATGGTACCTAAGGTCCCATATTTATTAATTATTCTAAATATAGAGAACTACTGTGGAATCCCAGGTGATAATGACAGTATAGTTTTTAAGGGTTATCACTACATACACAGGCTCAAACTTAGAGTAAAACATTGTCAGAAGTGATTTAGACACTTGGGAGCCCAAGTCCACTGACTCCCAATGAGACAGACTTTTAAACCATTTCTGAATAATGGATTTCGGTGCTTTTGAAAATTCCATCCTTCAGATAAATAAGTCTCATTGAAAGTCACTCCTAAGTATCCAAGCCACTTTCAAAACAAAAGCGTAGGCTCCTAAATCACTAAGATGATTTTGAAAACTTTACTCATAGCCCTTGGAGCTAATTCTGAGTTATGGTAATAATGTATGGTTTTACATTAAACAAACAAACAAAAAATGGAACTGTGCTAATTCATTAGGGAGATTTCACTATCTGTTTTGCTAAAGTCTCTTGCTGTAGGAAAATCATTTATATCCTGATTAATGCTTGATCTTTGCATGTTCTGAGAAGAAACTGCAAAAAATATTTAGAAAAATCAACTTAAAAAGCAATAGTGTGCATTAAGCCTACTCCTTCTTTGATAACTTTTCAGATGAATTTATGTATGTAAGCCACTGAGCACTGACAATTTAGAAGTTAAAATGTTTCCTGTAACATTACTACTTGGTAGTTACAGTTAACCCTAAAATGACTGTGTCAAGATGACAGAAATTCAGAATATTAATTAATTGTTTTAAAATACACATGTAACTCAGTTGATAAGATAATTGGGTCATGAAAGTAAGACTGAGGAAAAACCAAGGAAAGAAAAGAACAAGTCTACTAAAATCACTTTACAGAAGACAATAGTCCCATGGTTGCATTGTTATCCACGGATGGTATAGTATGACAACATATATGGATACATTTTTAGATACATATTTTAAATACTATATATAGAAAGAGATATGCGAGTTAAGTCTGCAAAGGTGTGAACAAGAAAAAATTGAATTATCTTGTCAGAAATAAAGTTATGGCTAGTTTACTATCCTTGCTAAAGATGAGTGTTATTATTTAATATTTGTATTACAATAGCATCTAGTGGCTGCAGTCTGGATAAGGGTTCATGTAGATATTGAAAAGACAGCTCCTTTCTCAACGAGCTTATTTTATCAGAGTAAGTTACTACTCACTGCCAGTAAACGTGGCTGAATTGGTACCTATATTTATCTGGTACTTCAACAGATTAACATTTAAATACCAGACTGAATAGACATTAATAACTAGTAAACAAAACGGACATACATACTTACATGCTATTATGATCCAAAAATGCTATCTGTAGGGCCGAGGTAAGGTTTAACCATTTCAAAGATTTGTTTAAAAATATGTTTCCAAACAAACTCCAGCGAAATCAGTAAAAGTTTACACTGTCCTAACAATAACTTTACATTTCCTTTGGATCAAATACAAGCCATTCACTGTGACAATTATTTAACATGGTCTTAACCCCTTTCTGCCTGATCTTGTTTAACTTGGGAGACCAAACAATGTATCAACTGTACTTACAGGAGGTCCTGTGGGGGGAAAAAAAGAGAAAAAAAAAGAGTATATAAGTTTATGAAGTTAGTAAGAAAGTCATATGCAAGAAACCAAAAATGAGACCACATGATTATAAATTAGCATAATCAACATACTGTTTAGATTTTGTTTTTTAATAATATTTTTCTTCACTGGTTCTTTGAGGCTGATAGTGATGCCAAAGACTTGAATACATGCAGTTTCTTTGCTGAATAATAAAATATTCTTCACCCATTCCCAAGCAATTTCATGTTAATTATTCTTCATCTATTTTCATGCAGTCTCATGGCAGGCCAAAAAATATTAACCATGAAATACAATTTGTTTTCTCAGACATCACATGTGCATTTATTTTATATCCACCAGTTTTAATTAGCCATGCAACTGGGAATTAAATTACATCTTGTCTGCAGAATTACACAATATATTTTACCCTTGGCATTTAACCTTGGCATTGAGACAGAAATACTTGCATCTAGATCTTCTTACCTTCCTCCTTTGCCAATAAGGAGAAGTTCCTGTGATCACCTGACTCTACAGAAATTTCCTTTCATCACCATCTTTTTTCAAGACCCACTTATAAAATGCTCCCTATTAAAATGTCACACTTTGTGAAGTGATATTTGCACATTTTTCCAATTATTTAGATTCAAAAGCTTTTGTACAGCACTTCTTGAGAACATTATCAAAGGGCTGCAAATCAAATCTAATATTTCATTCGTATTAAGTGGACCAGCTGCAGCTCCCAAATCAATGGCTTTTCATTAGCTCTCATGCCTCCCTCTAACTTCTGAATAAAGTGAGGTGCAAAGAGGGCATAAAATAGCAACAGCTGTATTTTCAGTTTGCTTTTGATATTATCAGGCCTTTTTTTAACTACATAGTTTTATTGTCTAGTAACTAAAGTAATTTCTTTACACTGGTAAACATTTTCAAAGAGTGTTTTAGTGTGAAGGGTCTGTTTCTAAAGGAAAGAGATCAATTTCCTCTGTTAATATTTTAATGTGTGTTTATTTCATGTGTAAAAGCAATGGACAAGCATACTGCAAGGTAGCTGCCAAGTTCATTTGAAATGTCACGATCATTTGTAAAGCCAAATTCATCCTGACTGATTCCTGCTATATTGTAACTTTTTTTTTCTCTGCAGCCAGCATCACACTGATTAACATATCAAAGTTAGTTGATGTTGATCTAATTGTTTCTTTTAGCTTGGCTTTATCTTAGCTATCCAAGAAAAAGAAAATAATTTTCTAAGAACAAAATAAAGTTATAATTTGTAACTATCTAAAAGACAAAACAATAGATTACTGTGAACAACAACTTTTATGGATATCAACCAAAGTGTAAGTTCATCCTAACTTGCTAGATGAATTCACATATAACCCAAAATACTCAGTATAACCTTAAGTACCTATTTCTTTGATGCCACTTCTAGAAAACCCTATCCTGACAAAGACCTGAATCCTGCAAAGTGATAAGTACCATCAACTCCCCCTGATGTCAATAGGAGCTAAAGGTGCCCCACATCCGGAAAAAGCAAGCTCAAAGTGCAGTTTCCACACAGAGAAAAAAGCTTCTCTTTATTTATGTGTTGCTTTTGCAAACTTTCAGCTACAAACACAACTAAACACAGACTGGATTTTAATTCCAGAGGATCCCAAATGCTACAACTTCCTAATAATCAACAGCTCATTTTACAAGTTCAGTCTATTAGACATTATCTCCATGACTGTTCACATAACACATTCCCTCTTGTTCATGACATGAGCTGTTCTAAACCATTATCACATTACTTACTTCAGTGCAATTATGCAGATGTGCACTGGTATAAATGAGAGAAAACTCACAGTGCTAAAATTATTTCAGCATTACCAATAACCTGTTTCATTATTAAAGTATTTTTATGTCAGCAATTACAAAAGCTATGAAAGGGTCTATAGATGCATCAAGCACTGTGAAGCATGCCTACAATTTTAAGACTCTTTGATATTGAAAGCAATTTAGAGGGCCGCAAGTTATATGCCAAGGATGACTAAACTTTTATCAGAATTTTTTACAGGTCCTTTCCTCCTATAACTCACAGGCAACAAAGAGCAAAAATAAGGCATGCGAGGTGTGCCCTCTGCCCCCAGGAAAAAATGCAAATCAAAATAAAGTGACTGAGTCATCATCTATCCAGTAGAATAATAGATACATTTTCACAAAGCAGACAAAATACTGAGAAAAACATCCATCTGCCCAAAATAAAATCTGACATCTTGCTTCCAAAAGTGAAAACTTACCCGTTTCTCCTCTTCTGCCCCTCTTACCTCGTTTCCCTGGAGGACCTGAAAAAGCAAGCAGTTTCTGGATTGTGATATTACAATTTAATATAATTCTTAACATTTAAAATGCAATTTTTTTTGACATAGTAGGATTAAACCTACTCAGAATGGGCCAGATTTTGGCCTTCTCCTAATTGGCTGCATAGATATAAGGAACAGTAAGATTCAGATTCACAAATATGAAGGTCACAGTGGACCATTAGCTCATCAAACCTAAACTTCTGTATACCACAATGTAATGAGTCTATAACAGCAACATGGTCTCCCACTGACCCGGAAGAGGAAGGAATCTCTAATACCCATTGGTGGGCAGGTCCAGCCTCACTTAGCCCAGGCCACAGGAAGCCGGGACTAGGAGTATAAAAGCGGAGAGCGATAGCTAGGGAGGCAACAGGGGCTGGAGCAGCAGGAGGCAGCAAGCTCTGCCCCAGGGTCGATGATCACCTGGGAGGCACGGACCGTCCTACCCCCAGGATGAGGTCCACGGCATCAAAATAGGGGCAGGAGTCTGGGTCTGCCCCTGGTTGGGAGCTGCCCCCTGTGGCCCTGGCATACGTCTACTGCAGCTCCTTTATTTTCATGAAAACCTGCTTCTGGGTTCGCATGTGGCCTTTGGTGGCCTGGCTGGCAGCCATCCACCTGTAGACAGTTGCATTCCTCCATTTAGTTCGGAGATTGCGGATGTTGGAGGCATCCCCCCAAACCTGAATTAGGTCCCTGATCTCCGCACCACCTTTTCCAGCCACTGGCAGGCTCCTGGAAGTTGGCAGACTGGTCCTGGGGAGCGGTGGAGGGCTGGCTGGCACTGGCTGCCTGGCTCATGCTGGGGCCACTGGGTCAGGTGCAGCGACTGCTGACTCTGGGCTAGCAGGCTTGGAGCTGGTTCAGGCACTGTGGCCAGAGTCTACCCCTTTAAGGGCTCTGAGGACAGGGGGAAGGGAGAGGAGTTTTCTTGGTTGTGCCCAGAGTGGCCACCAGTGGTCTACATAGCGCTTATTTTGAAATAGCAATTTTGAAATTGATGCTATTCCTCGTGGAATGAGGTTTACCAATTTCATAATAAGCCCTCTGCTATTTCGATTAAATTTCGAAACAGTGGTTTGGCTGTGTAGACGCTGGTAAAGTTATTTCGAAATCATGGCTGTTATTTCGAAATAACTTTGCTGTGTAGACACACCCTTACAGAAAAAAAACAACAAGTGGTCTGTTAAGCACTTTATAGACTAACAAAACACGTAGATGGTATCATGAGCTTTTGTGGACATCTGAAGAAGACTACATGTTTTGTTAGTCTATAAAGTGCTATCAGATCATTTGTTGTTGTGTTTGTTGTTTTTTAAGTTTGTCTAGTTACAGACTAACTTAGCTACCCTTCTGAAGCTATCAAAATATTAGCATGAATCCACAGGCATTTGCTATTTATGGTTGGGGCTTTTTCATGGCTCGCCTTACTATGAGGTGAACTGAGATGGCTGCCTCAGGTGCCAGACTGAGGGGGGTAGGAGGGGTGCCACTAGGACCCAGATAATTGAGAACTTTCAAAGTTTTGGCCCAAGCAAGGAGGCATGGGGGCATCATTTGAGCTCCCTGCCTCAGGTGTCAAAATGTTGTGGGCCGGCCCTGGGCTTTTTGTCAGGGTTAGATCTTGTCCTTAGATTCTGTGGAGATAATTGAAAGAAGAATGATTAAATGGAGGACCAGGCATCAGGAGGTTCCATTCCCATTTGCATCAGGTGGTTCCATTCCCATTTCTGCCAACGACTTTCTGTGTGGTTCTGTCAAGTCATTTAGACCAAAATTGCCAAATGTGGCTTGCTGAAGTTAGACGATTCCATATTTAAACATCTAAAATGCAGGGAACTGAATTTTCAAAGATGTTGAACATTTTTTTTCCGTGTCACTAATTTCAATAAGACGTGTTCAGAACATCGGAAAATCAAGCCTCCTTTAAGGGCCTGATCCTACAACACTGGAGTAGAAGGTTTGTCATTGAATTCCTGTGGGGCAGAATTTCACCTAGCAGCTTAAATATGGATATAAGTGCCTGCAAATTTTGTCCTTAACCTCTGTGTGCACCAGTTCTTTCATCTGCAAAATGACAATACAGATAAGGGTACAGTATCACCATCCTTCCTCAAGACATATTGTGAGACTTACTGAAAAAGCACTTCAAAAATATTTGGATCAATAGAGCAATAGGTTTTGTTAGTCAAACATGTAAGTTTCATGGACTCGGACTAAATGCCAGAAATCAAACTTTAATGCAACAATAAATTGTGGCTTCAGAAAAAGAGGATTACAATATTTATTTGAATGAAGCTATTGAAAAAGAGGATATGTGGAGAATTGATTTGCCATCAAGTGTATTTTCCTTGTAAGCCCTCCACATGTGAAACTGCCAATTAATGCCAATGGAAGCTCATGGGACCAGACAAAATATTCTTCTCAGGCAGAGAAAGGGCAGTACATGCTTGAAAAAAAATAGCTGGCTTAAAACAAACACATTGTGCAGCCTCCCCAACACTACTTTTCAGGTTGTACCCTGTTTTTATTATATGCAACTTTATTTTCAAAGGGGCAATGTGGACATAAGTTTCCTCCTCTTTGCACACAAGATTAGAAAGGCAGAGAATTGTCTTGTGAAATTTAGAGAATATGGACCATACTGTTACAGTTTTTGAATTTTATGCCAGTGTATTTTCTTTGGCATCAATTGTTACACTATTGTCAAACTGAAGTAATGCATTAGCAAAGCAAATCCTGTCAGTTTAAAGGTTTTTTTTTTAAATTTATCTGTAAACCTAAATAAAAGGATCAGAATTTGGTCCCCAGTTTCTACTTTCCTTCCTCTATTAAGTAGTTTTTACATCAGTCCTTACTTGGGCAAACTTCCACTTAAGTCAGATAGTTTGCCCCAGAAAGACCATAGTACAAACTGGGGCCTGACATTTGCAGTGGCTTCCAATGAGCCTTGGCCAAGTTTTGCAAAAGCAGCCTCCCTCCCCATGGATGCTGAAGAGGGATTTATAGTTTTAACTTGAAATGGTGTGAAACTGGAGTCCCAGCTGCTCTGAGATTTTGGGTTCAAACCCAAGAACTGAAAGTGAAACCCTTATGGAATGAACAAAAAATAAGTTTCTTAAATTGAAGCTTTGGACAGCTGTATTTTATGCTTATATGTAACTCACTTTTGGAGAATCAAGACCCAATGTACATGTTGGACATCTGACATTTCCACTGACTTTATTGGATGAATGCAGGATCAGGTAGATACATAACAGCAATAAAATAACAGGACCAGCAACTTACTCCTTAAAGAGAAACTAATCTATTTGAATATTTCTTCTGGTATCAAATGCAGATTACAACTACGCTGATACTTTGAGATCACTGGATAAAAACGCGGACAAGTGCTAATCGCTGAATACATTCTAATTGTTATTGTAGCTTCACAGTCACGACACTATTGAAGTCTATGGAATTATATATGGTTGTGACTATTTTCTTCCACTATTTGATCTGAGGAAGTGGGTCTGGCCCACGAAAGCTCATCATCTAATAAACCATCTTGTTAGTCTTTAAAGTGCTACATTGTCCTGCATTTTGCTTCAGCTACCCCAGACTAACACGGCTACATTTCTATCACTATTCTATGGAATTATTCTGCATTTATGTCAGCATAAAAGAGATCAGAACATGGCCTCTGACCTTTAGCTCCCCGAGCCAGCCTCATTTAGCTGGAGGAACTGCTGCTGAAAGACATGAGACATTCCTCCTTCTCAATTAAAACTTTAGGAACTTTTGTCCTGTACTGCTCTGACACCATGGTGGCCTTTTAACTGATCCTTGGGATGTGGGAATGTTAGCTGTGAAATAATTGGTAGATCCTTCAGACTTCCACTGGAATGCTGAGTGCCACCAGAGGATACAAAAAGAATACAGAAATTGTTTTATATATGCAATGGATTCCACTTACAAGTATTTTTCATGCAGATAGGCCATTATGTTTGGCCCCAATTCAGAAAAGCACTAGCACATTTGCCTAGGTTCATCTCTACATTCAGAAAAGCTCATTAGGAAATGCTTACATGCTCTCTCAAATAGGTATGCATTCCTAAATCAGAGTTGTTAGCATTATCTGATGGTGCCCAGCTACCAAAAGCATTGATCCTTAAATACAAACGTCTGTATTTTTCTCTATTTATAATCTCACAATTAACACAGGAATTTGGAGGAGGTATGGCATAGTGGAGGAGGTGTGTCAATATTTATAAAGCTATATTAAGCATGACAGTTCATTTTAAAGCAATGCAACAGGTATTCATTCACACCATTTGGTTTGATATACAGTACTCTACATATAGCAAATGTACTGTACTTTCTCACCTTGGATGAAATCCCTGTGGAATATGATCAGCAAATTCTGTGCCGAGTTATATTTCACCCATATAGAGTACTTAAACAAGACTTGTTTGTTTTAAATGTCTTTTTCAATTTTGAAGTCTCTTAAAAAAAGGCTTTAATCTCAGTGGAATAAACTGTTTTAATGAAGATTAATGATGCCCAATAATAGGCAGTAGGGAACTATTAATATTACAGTAGCTAAATTCAAGAGCTGCCAACTTGCTGATCTACAGGGTTTCTAGATTTACCTCCAGGTTAGGAGTGTAAGTGAAACATTGTAAAAACCAGCTCTTGTTCCTTTTTTTTTTTAAACCTATTTCACTTTAGAGATATTTAAAAAAAAATGTTCTTGAGGAGATTGTGTATGAGTCCAATTCCTGGACATTTTAATTTTAATAAAATGTTATCAAAAGGACAGTTTTTTGCCATTAGAAAAACAAATGAATGTCATTATTTTCCATATACATACACAATTTTGACACATTTTTATAGTGATTATTATTGAATTTTCCATATTTATATAAAAAAAGCTAAGTAGTTACCTATCTTAATAGTTTTTTCTAATAGAAACCAAACATCATCATTTTTTTAAAATGCCA